GGTGTTAAAGAATTTACAACTCGACAGGAAATACAAATTTTAAAGGATTGACGACTTCAAGTTGCCCCCATTACAGTAGCAGACACCGGTACTATGCTTCCCATTTTCAGTCATATCAACCTGATTTAAGCCCCATATGCGAATGGTCCGATCATCACTTGCAGAAGCCAACATATGAGGATTAGCTGGATTCCAGGTAACACAATTGACAGCCCCAGAATGTCCAGGCAATGTAAAAATGAGCTCTCCCGAGATCCTGTGCCATATATAAACCTACATATCATGTCAAATAATTAGTAACACTCACAACAAAGAGCTGGAATTCACAATTTAATATATCAATTGTTAACCAAAGACGAGACTGAGCTAGCATTACTGAAACAGGAATAAAACAACAGGCAAAATAAGAATAAGATAATCATTTCCCTTCGGTACACAAAAGAAGCCATAATCAAAGGTAGTTACCTTTGTGGAGTCGTAGTTATTTCAGTACAAGTAACATTTAAGAAAGAGTTATGAAAGCAATCTTTACCTTACTATCAAAATTTAACTTATTTTCAGCTTTCATCGATCAAAAAATTATTTATTTTAAAACAAACTTATTTACTTATAACCAAACCTTTTGTGCATAGCCAACGATGGCAAACACACCCACCGCATAAATTCCAATCTACTGTAAAATTCAAAACTGCTTTGAGAGTGGTATACTTGCAACATCTAGACATGGTGGCATCAATGTAATTAGCACTTCGTATGAGGTGCAAAAACACTCAATTATAATACATGCTTGTCCAGATAGAAGGCTTATTAACAGCACCGGCAACAGTAGCCATCAATTGATTGGAGGACATGAATACTATGAACAGTCTTGGTTTGTATACAAGAAGCTTATTCCACATAAATAATACTGTTCTTAGTAGTGTGCAAAAAACCAGTTCATACCGGAAAAATAAATATAATATGTATGCAGCAATGCAAAATAAATGCTCATGATAAACAGAAGAGGCATTACCTGTGAGTCCTCACTTCCACTGGCAATAAATGCTTGATCTAGTCCACCAAAACAAGACCTCACAACTAAACGGGAACGCTTATGACCTTTGTATTTGGCGACTAGCTCCACCCTCCCATCGATATTCCACAGATGGAGTTCTTGGTTCAATAGGCTAACAAGCAAAAACTTCTTGTCTTTGGACAAAGCGAATGAAATTATAGTTTGATCCTCTTCAATGAATTTCTCAGAATTTGATTCCCATCCAAACAATGATATCATATTTTCTTTACAAATAGTAATAAGATGTTTCCCATCACTAGATATCCCCAAGTCTGAGATTCTAGTAGTTTTTTGCCCTTTCCAACACTCTACCTCTTTCCCTTCCAGATCCCACATGCAGATGCTTTTGTCAGTAACACCACAAAATATCCTTCTACCATCCGGTGCCCATGCACAAGAGACCAAACCGAGGCCGCCTTTTTCATATACAAGGAGGCATTCCCCAGATGCAGTTTCCCAACGTCTAATAGCCTCTTCTACTCCACAAGTAAGAAGTTGACGATCATCAGGGCTCCATGAAATATAGGAGACAGGTTTCTGGTGACCAGATAATCTATGCTTCAAGGAAATTCGCCCATCCACTTTTACCTAACAAAAGCAACAGAATCATGAGGAAGGGAGTCACTAAAAATGATGTCTAAACAGGAAAAGCCTTCCAAGTAATCAACTCAAACTCTTGGGAAACGAAGCAAAAAAATATAACACTTTAAGGTTCATCACTATATTGAAGAGGTGAGTGCCACATTTTACATCATAATCTTAATTTGTAAAACCAGATAAGGAATCAGAGGTAATTTAGAAATATTAATAGAATAAATTAAAAGAAGTTCCCAATATCTGGAAATGAAATATGTAATATGCAATAAGCAACATAAGCAAATTAAAACTGGTAACGTAAGCACTTGAAGGTCAAGACTGAGACTGATCAAAACACAACTTGGGTTAAATAATTAAACTATCAACGATAATTTTATACGGATGACAGCGAACAAATTAAGCACTGTTTCAAAACATTCCTATTAGATAGAAGAGGTTTGGAAGTCATCTAGTGAAGCTTCCAACGGATTTTGGAAGTTCAATCCACATACATACCTTTAAATTGTCATCCAAATATAATCAACATTCTTCAATGCTATACTATTAGGTATTCCTGTAGTAATCAAAATAATTTATTAAATCTCATACCATGTGGGTCCAACTCTTATACAGGATCTAAACCAAAAAACAAAGCTCTCTTTACAACCCAAAACCTACATTCACTGTTATTTATGTAACTTGTATCATCTTCAAACTAATCCAATAGAAATAACAATGCAATAGTTAGATCTCCCATGTGCGTTCCTTTTCCTCAAGCTGACTGCAATAACTGAAATAAAGGTCCCATCGTGGAAATCACATGCCAAATCAAGTATGTGATGCTAAAAAGATGAGTTAAATGAGATACATTTTACATTCCAAGAGAAAAGATTCAAAAAGACTTGTCAAATGTCAAATATTTGAAAAACAAAAGACTAATGGAATCGCCTTCATATCTTTTGAAATATCAACTCTAATTTAATGTTTATAATAGGTGAAAGATGTACTGGTTTTGACATAAATCTAGTTATTTATGTTGTAAGTTCTACAATTTGCCAAAAATGCTACAAAAGAACTTTGAAATGTTTTTGAAGTGATGAACAACTTTGCAGGTATCCTCAGGCCTTTGAGCTGGAATTAATAATGTTCAATTGATCAATTGAACACTCCATATCAAGTTCTCTTTGCTCGGTATATTGATTATAATCAATGACAGGATGATCATAATGAAAAATATTTAATTATGCTTTTTCTAGAACATGTATTTACTATTCATGATATCATGATATATAGAAAAACAAGTTTAAAAACAAACTCAAGAATACATCACATTCTCCATCCTAGAACACCTACAGATAAATTGAAAATCCTTTTAACTCCTTATGGATAGACATAAAGAAGCCAAAAACTCCTCTAAAAGCCAGAAAAAAAGCAAAAACCACTTCTTCCCACATAACTCCCAACTTTCATGAGCCATAACAAATAGGTTTTTCAATATATATCCGCTGCTTCTCTCAGGAAGAAAACCACTCTATATCAGCTTCTTTTAACACGCTGCACCACAACACTACTATCAAGACTTTCTGCTGTCCACAGAAAGAAATAAATGAAGAAATTAGCTTTGAGCTTGAGCTCAATAGCAAGGACCATCCCCCATGAGAAACCAAATCCATTAAGGGATATAAGATTTTCAAAAGAACTAAATGGTTCAGATAATGGTAAGCTCCACAAGTCAACCTTGCCAGGTCTTCCATTTGGTTCATCAAAGTGTCAAGACCTGGAAGAGAGCTTGTTTTCTGTAAAATATTTAAATAACCCTCCACCATTAAGATCCACTATCACTGAATAGAATCAATCTCTAACCTCAGCGCTTCTCTAACCACTGTAGCAACCTCCGCCAAAACCTGGAAACAACCTCTGACAATAAACCTAAAAGCTAAAATCAACCAATCTTCTGTCTGGATGTATAAACCAACCCTTTTATGATGGAACTCTTAACAAAAATTCTGGTACAGCAATGGAATTACAAAGCCCTTGCTCCTCTAGATTTTGTGGGAAAACCTAACCGCGAAATTGATTTGGCTGTTTTCTACTGGAGCCTAGGTTGATGAAGGATTTGTTTCTTCTGGAGCTATTTATCTTTTACTTTTTTACTAAATTGGGTTTCTAGTATATATTGATTGTGGTTCTGGCGTAAGCTGATCAGCGAATTGTTTCACGAGGGACCGATATAGTCATTTGGATAGAGATTTTCACATCAAACAGACTTTTTTTTACCTTACAAATCATAGGGGCATCTGTTAGAAGTATAAAGAGAAAAAGACAAGCCAGATTGAATTTGTGTTTGATATGGGGTGCGCCTACTAGCTTAGGAAAAGAGCAGCAGCTGCAAGATACCAATCTTAATAGACATGAGAGCAATAAGCAACTAAGACTCTTTAGTTTTACCATCTGGCAGGGAACGATAAATCATTGTGTATCATTAAAGAAATATATGGGGTAGATAACATGTTGGAGACTTGTTGTAAACATCAACAAGTTTCAAGTAGATGGGAGCAAGCAGATAAAAATAACAGAAACTAATGAGAGGCACTTGATCACAAAAGTTCCATCATTGCAGCATTATATTTCCTAAACAACTATATGATCTAATGGATATTGTGCTGACTTTAAACAAGTAGTCCTTAAAATTCATATCCAATAAATGTTTTAGAAAACAGTTCTACTTTGAACAAATGATATAAATACTACACCAAGTCCAAAACATTTCGAGCTATATGAAAAAAAAAAAAAAATCGAAAGCAACAGATGCTGATGTTAAGTTGGAAGACCACAGTTATAATGTCATGAAGTGTCTGCGCAGAAATTGTAAATAGCACTAAAAATTAAAAAACAGCATGGAAGTAAATTGTTAATGGCATGAGTAAAATCCATATACCAGCCAGTCATTGTAGGGAACCAGGGGAAATAAATGCAAGCATAAATTAATTATATGCACAGCTAAAAAAATAAAAATAAAATAAAAAAATAAAAAAATTACCTCCCATATAATCACTAGACAATCACTGGATGACGAGGCCAAGTAGTCTCCATTGTGAGAAAATTGCAAGAACCAGACTTCATTACTGTGTTCTTGTAATATCTGGATTATGAAGTCAAGCATTCCCGTGTCAAAAATGCATCAAAAGAAGGATTTAGGTCAAAATTTTAAATAAACAATGAATTACCCCGGGTTTCGTGAAAGAGTAGATATATTACAATTCCAGTGTTCATGCTAAATAAAAACAGAAATCTATTATACCAAAAGATTTGCTTTCAAGCAACTAGTAGATCATTGCATATTATCTGCTTTAATCAAGTGTGCACATTTAAATCCCATCGCACAATTCATCTCCATACAGAGCCTAATAAATTCATCAGTGGTCAAAAGTAAGGCCAAAGTCTCAGCTAACATCAATATTATTTCACTATATTAAGTTCCAGAGACATTGGGTCAGTTTACCATAGCAACGGCTTCTTAACAAATTTTAAATACATCATATACAGAAAGAACCATCACTAACGACTGCAGACTTAACAAAAGGTTTACCCAATATTGGACAGAATACATGTATGCAAAATTGTTTGCACAAGGAGTTTTTGTTTTCTTCTCTTTTTTAGGGAGTCCTGATACATAGGCACACACAATACGGAAACAGGATTTCCACCTCATCAATAAAGATGATGCAACAATGATGAGGAAAAAAAAAAAATCTGAAGAAAATATTCGAGGCGATTTTAGATCCTTCCATTAAGTCTAGTAGAGTGGATTGTTATGAGAATTTGAAATTTTGTTACAGTGATTTCATCTTCTTCTAAAATTCTTCCTAACCCATAATCAAACTCATATATCATTTAATCCAAATCAAACTCCACCATGTTCTCTGTTGTAGTAGGTTTTTTGAGAGACTTTCTAAAGCTCTCCCATGTCAATAGATGCATGGGATTCTCAATGTCATATATTATTCATTATGAAAACAATGAGCATAAAATTAATATAGCCTTCAATCTAACATTTGTTTGCGGAGTAATTATTAGGCACATGGTCTCTAGTTTCACATTAGTTTCATCTCTTTTGCCATTTTTATGGTATTAAACAATTTTAATGTTCATCTCCATGAGTAAGCATTGTATCACACAAAGGTGTAGTATCTCCGTCTACCCCTCGTTGAGAAATAGACATAACAAATTCTAGGTCAATGGTCAATAAACTCATTTATCATTCTGGAGCATTACTTTTTTTTCAGATTTATACATAAGAAAAAAGTACAAACTATAATACATATTTTTTTCTCCATCCTTTTATTTGGTCAAGAGGTTGGGGGCTCTCACATCCCTTGAAGAAAACATTACATCCGTCTTAGTGTTTAAGAGATTCTTTTGCCACGTGGAAGCAACATTCTCAATACCATTGTTTCCAGATGTTGTTTGACACCTCAAGGGGCGCCTCATGTGTCTTTCATTAAACACCTTGAATACCACTGTCAAGGCTTACACCTCGCGCTTAGCCTCAGGGCAACTGAGGTGTGCGCTCCTTGTTTTACCCTTTCTGGGTTTTATTACTGCCTTAGCTTTATGGGCTATTTTTTTAGCCCATATTTGACGAGTTTTTTTGTTCTTTTCTGTTTCTTTTACATGGCAGCAGTAAGGGGAGGGGAATATAACATTGCAAGTTGAGGATGATGGGAAAAAAATGAGAAGAAACTAATCAGAGAGAAATGAACATGATGATTGGGGAATAAAAATATTGATAATTCTCTTAAAGATCTTGTTAATCGTGACAATGCGGCAGATGCCTAGGCTGTTTACTGGTATCTCTTTGATTATGTCATAAAATACCTCAGGACCCTTGCCTCATCGAGGTAAGAAGCTTTAATATCCGATTAAGCCTCTTTTCATACATAGCTAAATATAGTTATTTCACCCAAAAACAAGAACAGATATAGATAAGTACAATTTTCTTTATAACCAGAGAATTACAACATTGGCCCCCAACCTATTATCTAAATAGCAAGTTGGTCTCGAACCTTCTCAGTTTTCATCATTGTAGTACCATCAGCCTTCGGTGGCAAAAATTGTTCAATCTTAGTTAAACCGCATCTCTCATGAAAACATATTTCACTTCCAATTTTTAGACACCACCTCAAATTGGAAAGCTAAATCTAGCTTCAAAAGGTTGGACATACTAGGATCACTTGACAACCTTACAGAGATTTGGACAATCATCATCATTTAGGATTTATTGCGCAACATAAATCAAAGGTTAGAAACCAACTTGCTCTTTTTAAAGGTTGAGGAACAACTTACTACTTAGGTAGTATGTTGGAGACAAATGATGCAATTTTCCCCACTTTAACACTAAGTGAAAGACTCAAATATCTTATTCATGGAAACAATATTGATCTATTTTACTTTTACTGTGATCAACATCAATCAACTAATAATGTAAAAAAGAAAAAAAGAAAATAAAGGAGGTTTTATCTGCTATTCGTGTATAAAACAGCACAACTGAAGACCCTAATCCAAATAAGATGGCATTATTATGAAAAGTTCTTCTGATTCAATGTGTAAATAATAAATTTTATCCTGACCTGTAAAGTTTGAGAAGGAATGTGGTCTCCTCCACACTGATGATCGGAGAGCAATGACATTTCCTCAACCAAGGAGTTGTGAAACCTGCAAGCGTCCCTTTGCAAGTCGAGAGCCTGTTCAACAAGAAGCACCAATCGGTTTTCAGGAATCATCACCGTAGAGGGCAGCAACGTTTTCAATTCCTCCAGTAATTTTTTACGTGACTTGATCCTTAACTGTTGATCAGAAGTTCCATCAAGAGCAATCTGTGATGGAGACACAATTAAGGAAGAAAGCTCATGAAGTCTGCTAGTACATACACACAGAGGTGCAATCTCAGTTCTCAGCGTCTTCAAAGCATCCATGACTTTTTCTCCAACCAAAAGTTCAAAAAACTTTTGCTCCAATATTACAAAAGATGCCAACTTAACAATATTTTCATCTATTAGACCAATTTTATGTAATGTGGCAACACTTTCAGTCCATTCACCATCAATAATTTGTTGCATAAACAAATTAACAACAGCGGAGTGCAAAGGTATCCCTGACTCTTCCTCTAGATGTGCTCCTGTCTTTTCATAACCAAGAGAATATAGAGCCTCAGCAATGATTCTAACAAGTTCAACTTTCTTCACAACTCCTTTTACACCAACAACCTCGTCATCTTCTTGAGATTCTAGGAGTCGAGCCATTGAGTCACTCGATGAGCACCTCGCTAGCTCTCTAACTGATGCAACGCTGGAAAAACTGTCTGATTCTTCAGATGACACTTTCACGCGTTTTAAGGGTGGATCTTCATGCTCTACACCTCCCATTAAAAGTACACCTCAGCCCATATATAAATGCAGTTAAAGAACCCAGAGGAAAGAAGAATATCTATTGAACCACTGAGAATACTCTGCAGCAAATAATGAACGAAAAAGATATGAGCAAAATGCTAATAACAATCATACAAGGAAAGAGAGAAACTCAAAGATATCAAGTTTCAAAATAGAATAAAACATGATTCTACTAGGCATTGAAAAGGTAAGGTTAATGTTCACGAGATCGACTTGTGCAAATCACATTCCTTTTTGTGCTTGATATGGGAAAAGAAAACATAAAAGTAATGACAGCTGCATCAATTCATTCAATCTGTTTGGTCCACTTCTTTGGAGAACTCCAGTCCGCTTTGTGAACATAGATATTTATACAGACCCATCTAATTGCAAAAGCCATTAGACGACGTTGATTTTTTTTGCCATTGTCGGCAGAGTCAGCAGCGGAAATGAGTCTAAACATATGGCCTTTAAAAATCCCGATGTTATTGATAACTGATAACCTGACAGAAAATGTGTTTAAAAGTTCACAGAGCACAATTGTACTCAACGCTTCAGCCATCCTAGTACAAAGTCTACAGACATTATCTTTGGTGTCACAGAGTCATTGCTCCGCCAAACTTTTACCTAGCCATCGCACCAATAAATTAAAATTGCACTCAGCCCACAAATGCCATGAAAGCGGTCGACTAAGGCACAAAGACAATTGAAGGTACTAGGCAAACAAAAATGAAGGCATTAAGCACATAAAAATAAACTGACGCACAGAAGCCAATGATTATGAGTATCTCACGTTCTTTATTTCTCTCAAACAAAGGACTTTTGAGCAATGGTGAACTAACAAAAATCTCTGCTTTGTGCATCAGCAGCCAACCCTCAATTAACACCCCCAGCCACTAGAGAATGTTGACAGTTCAAGCGTTGGCCACTTCACCAAGCCGAAACTGCCCACTAACCATTTCCCTGCAAAATGCTCACCATGTTAACAAGAAACTTCTAAGTTAGTTTTTTCTCAAAACCACCATCTAGATGGTCAGTTTTGGGATCACTGTGTGAATAGGTTCCTCAACTTTGGGCATCTGACTTGGCACATTAAGTGAGAATTCATCCTAACTACTTCCTACATGGTTGCCTGTAGTGTGAATTTAGCCATGCAATCAAGGTCCATATCTGAAGAATCATGCCTAGAAGTTGCCCATATGTCTCTGCACGTTTGGGCCTTCACCCATGCCATGCTTCACAAAACTCTCTCAATGCACAATGACATTTGCACTCCAACTTTGGACTCAAACAGAGCCATCCAACCAAGAAACTTGGTCCTAGTTTTTGCCAACCATATTTTACGCGACTCTCATACCAAATTGTCATATAGTCAATAATGAGTCAAACTTTTACCAAAGATGCCACTAAGAATTGTCACTCTGTGGCCCAAATATCACACGAATGCATTGGACAAAGGTATAACTGAAGGCACTGAAGAAAAAGATGACATTCAACGTAGAAACATAAATGAAGGAATGCGATAAGCTGAAGCAAAACAACTTCTCTATGCTTTCGCCTCAACAGCCTGCCATATATCCGAAAAAGGGTTGAGGGAGATACCCCAACTGATAGGGTGAGTTCACCAAGTTTAAAACAGCCTACTTGCCATATGGTTGCCAACAGCTCACCATGTTATCAGAAACCACCTGAGTCAGTTTAACCACTACCCTCAACACGGTTAATTTAAGGGTCAGGGTCATTGTGTACAATTGTCCATTGCCTTTGCACGCTGAATGAAGAGTTCAAGTCAGCTGCTTCCCACACGGTCTACCCATGGCAGTGATCAACTGCACTGGACAGGAATCCATAACTTGAAAGTCGCACACAGGAGTACCCCATTGTTTGTATATTTCCTTGAGCCTCAGTGCAAGCTGAGTTGCAATCATATTCTGTGCCTACATTTCTCTTGCAGGCTGAGCAATTCCACACATGCCATGAACTGACGTCCAAAAGTACATGAGAACATTATTGTAGTCAAAACAGGCGTCCATGAGCTTAAAAAATCATGTATCGTGGTGGCATCAACTAGTTGGTCAATCCTAGGCAAGGAAAAGCTTGATTTGGTCTTATTGTTGGGGAGTCTTGTCTGATCCAGTTCATGTGGAGTCGTATATGGCAAAACAAGTTGTCATGGGTTGAGTTGGGCCCCTTTTTAGATAATTGTGTCTTGACCTAGTTCGTTGTTCTTAATACCGTAATTAAGTGGTTATGATTGTAATTTTGTTGTTACATTGCTAACAATTGTATTTTTTTAAAATTATATTGACTGTGTAATTGAATTGCGTTACATTAAAGGTAATATTCCATAATTTCTCACAAAACTACTTACATCCTCATTTCAAACATGGTTATAGACCGTGTTCCCTATTTGGTACATATTTTTTAAAACTCATTTTTAACTACACACCCTAATAAAATAATTTTATACGTGGGCCCATAATTTTTTCTAATTTATAACCATACATTCTTCAGAAAACAAACTTTTTGCAAATAAAACCTACAAATCTCTTGCCCAAACTCAAATCCAACACTAAGAGGTCTACTGATTCCAATTTGTTTGATATTGCATGGAGGTCCTTCAACTTCCAAAAGTGACACATTGGTCACCAACTTTCAGAATTCTTCCAATTCTCATCCTTTATGATATTCCTTTTCATCTCTTCTAGTCTAATACTGAGTTTTCATCTAAAATAATCAATAAACAAGTATAATTAAGCATCAAGCTCATTATAATCACTCTCAAAATCTACTTTTGATTGTCAAGTAGGTGCATTTGGATCCTTGATGGTCGGTTACTGTCCATCTTAACATCAATAACTAGAGCTTTGGAGGGTGGTTTTTCACACGATAGTGTTCCCTCTACATTACCATGTTAAACAACCATAATCATTGATGACACCGTCCATCAAAGATCCAAAGTGCCTATATATTACTTGGCATCTTTGAGACTCTGATGTTGTACTCTCTGATCTTTGTTTTTAAGAGGTCAAACCCACTAGTGTAACAGTGGAAAACTTGAGCAACTATTACAAAAAAGAAATTCATCCTCTCTTATATGCACAACCGTTCACTTACTAACTGCGTTGCGGCACCCAATTAGCAAGTCCTCAGGTAATGATAATAATTACCATTTAACATATACAATGATTCCTTAGTTCCTCATTAACTGTCCAGAAAATATTATTGAAGCAACAAAGCACAAAACTCTAGGCTTGAGATTACTTCCACAAACTTGTTCACCCTAAGAGGAAAAAATATTATTCTCCAAGACCGCATGTAGAGTCAACCCAAAATGCTACTTCAACAATAAATATCAGACATTTTCACCAAACGTAAGAATCTCTGGTAAAAAAATTATTTTATAGTCATTATAACCCCATTCCAAGCACTTCAGCCAATTCACAGATCCTGATAATCTATTACACTCTTAATTAAATCTTCTATTGTCCCCATCGTCTTAAGTTTGTTTATGTTTGGAGTATGATTTGGACAAAATTTAATGATTGGCGATCCGACAAATTTTAATAATCAGTTGTATAATGTTTCACATTTCCAAACCGACCAATTCAATGTCCAAGTGGCTATTTCCACGTCCATGGAACACGCAAAGCATTGAAAGAAGAACACAACAGGAGGGAGTGTGACCCAGAAGAGTCATTCCTTCCTCTCATTTTTTAGAATTTTCATTTTTCTATATTGATTAATAACTTTATCCTTGAATAAAAAAAGAGTTTAAAATACTTTTCCAAGAAGGTTTTATTGAAAATGTTAGAAAATGTCTTTAAAAAGAAGAAAAAAAAATATCTTTTTGCCACATTCCCAAGAAATTATGGAAGGAAACAGGCACAGAAACCTAGACCCACCCTAAGATAAAATTGTGTTGTGCATGTGGCTCATATCTCGTGGACGTAGGCACACCGTCGAACCACGTAAAATTCTTGTGTTGATTTTCGTTTTCATCTCTTTAATATTGCGTATAAAATCCAACAACTTGCCACTTCCACAACTCAACTAAGACTTTGACAAACATAGAAAGTTGACATCACAACCCAAGTTGTGTGAAACAAATATACGATGGTAACATTGCAAGTACTGAATCATAAATGATGACAAACTGAAACCTCACTTTATGAAATTATTGACATGAAAATGAAATGGCAAAAGAGAATGGACCGCGCACACACAATATAGCAGTCTGGAAAGAATGATGAGTAACTGAAACCACTTTACTTACTAAACTACTAGTGTTTGAGCAAGCAAACACTCTTAAGGGCCTATTTGATACAACCAAATTCCATGGAAATTGGAATTCAAATTCCACTTTCCACCCATTCTGTGTTGTTTGATGGACAACATTTTCCATGGAATTTGGTTTCCACCTTAGCCCCTCACGTGACACTTTTTCTTGGTTTTCAAGGAAATTGTTTTCCTTTGGTTTTGGTGGGAAGGTGATTTCCAGCTTTTCCCTTTTTTTTGGGGGCAATGAAAACAAATTTCATCCACAATTGTAACAAATTATATACCTTTAATTGACAATTTTCATGAAAAATAAAGCTAAACGAACAACAAAAGATGCAAAATTTTAAAATTTCTCATGTGAAAAATTATATCAATCAAATACATTTAATTGACAATTATCAGTAAAACAAGTTCCAGGCAATTCAATTCCTGAAATTCGTTTTCTTTCCACCCAAATTTAATCCTTGCAATCAAGCCGACCCTAAGCAAGAATTTCAATACAATCCCACGTAAGAAAAGCATTAGATTCTTTTAGATGATAATCTAATTTCCATCAGACCGAATCCAGGCAAATAATCCCAAAAATGGTGAACATTGAAAAGTTTGTCACATAATTCACAAAAGAAAATGATGGCAAGAGGGGAATTAAACCCATATCAAGACCCAAAAACAAGTAAGCAATTAAAACAGAGAAATTGGGAAATACCAAGATTATGAATTGATTTAACAGAGAATCAGAAAAACCAAGAAACCAATTATGTGGATATTCAGATCGCAGCAATGAAAAGCAGCGGAGCTGGACGGAAATAGGGAAATGCTAAAGGATGTACCCAGGACAGATAAAGAAACAATTTCCCTTGGCTTTTCCTTTTTTGTCAAGAAAATGTAGCAATATGTCTCAATTAGGTGGCAATCAAGCACAGTACTGGATTTCAAAATCTAGAAACAAGGAAAAGATTTTTAAGAAAAATGGATAATTATGTATTGAGTATTGGGTTTGCTGTTGCGTGGGGACTGCGAATAGAGAGATAAGCGTTTATCATCTCTTTTATAACAAAGTTGTGGCGTGGTTGTGAAATTTAGGGGGTAAAAAAAGAAGTTTATTCAAGTCAATTATTTTATAAAACATTTTTTAAAATTTGTTTTAAAAAATTATTTTAACAAGGCAAAAATCTCTTTCATGTAAACGCGAGAGCCTTGTTTACAAATTACTTGTATGATACTGAGTTAAAAAAGTACAAATATAAATTCTTGAAAACAAATAAATTAAATCAGAACAAAATCAAACATACATGTTATGGTCGGTTCCGTGATATTTGTGATTTATAATTGAGAATTATATAGTTTGTCTCAATTCTAGATTTTTTTGTTTAAAATCGAAAGTGAATTGATAAAATTTGTTGTGGTGTCATAGTTATCTTGTTTGTGAAACTTGAAAACTCTTTTGCAATTGTTCGTGGAAATCTAGGAGTAAAGAATAAGAAAAATAATTTAACGGATTGTGCGACCTGAAACTAGTCAATTTTGATTTATTTGAACTTTACCTTACAATGGAATCAACGAATGCCACTTTTAAAATTATCAATACAATGCAATCAATATTTACCAAACCCTTTTTCATTCATCCTTAAATGATAACTAGTGTGGTTGTTACCATCAACTCAATTTCAATTTAGAGTTATAAAATATGAATCATCTGTAAATGAACATAAAATCTTATGATATCTTGAAATTTCTTACTTATTATTATTATTTACGAAGTTGCTATTAAGACATTCTAAGAGCTATTGATAAAAATTATTGACATTAGTTGCTAAAAAGTTATTGGAACCTAAATTGCATGAATTATTTATAAATGAACACAAAACCTTATAAAATCTTGAAATTGCTTGCTTATTATTTATTTACGGAAGCGGAAGAACTGCTGAAACTACGCGAAACCCTCACAAGGGTTTATGCACAAAGAGCGGGCAAACCCTTATATTATAAGAGAAATTTATGAAAAATATTGATGTTAGTTACTAAGAAGTCACTAGGACTTAATTTGCAATTCCAAAGAAATACAATGACAAATGGTAATTTAAGAAAAGTTACAAATTTAGATATGTCAAATTGGTTTAGGACGATCATGCATCCAATTGATATAGATGTTCAATATATCAACAATTTTGGTGAAACATTCAAATCAAATCTCTCCATCATGAAACCCATCGTCCCTTTTCTCTCATTTTTGCCGAAAATTCAGAAACATAAATATAGGCACCCACACAATCATATTTACTCTCGGAACTAGAAAAAGAAAGAGGAGAGGAATGCGATTACTTTTACTTTATAAGTCGATGCTCTTTTATTTACATTTAACACTTGCGCATGCGTGAGGAATGTTTATAAACGGTTTAAGCTATGAATAGATGGAAATTAGTGATGAATAAGTGAATAATACTTAAAAGTCTATTGAAATGTCCGAATAAAAAATTGCTTAAGTGTTTATAAACGGATTATATACATAAACCAAACATGAAGTCACCTACACCAAGATTTAAGACACGACACCGTTTAAATGTCTAGATGTAACGTCATTTCATTGTTGATAGCAGAACTTAGAAATGCATTAAGTGCTGCTAAGGTCCTTAGCCACGAGAATGGTTCTCCGAACTACAGTTAAGCTACGTTCACGGGCTCGGTTACTCCAATCAATGTAATCAATTGCTCCGATCAATGTATGATTACGAGCATTCTTAGCACGTAACAATGTCTTATCATCTCCTGGGTTAATTCGTCATAGTGGATGGATGGTTATCGAACTGCAAATCGAGAACCATGTATTTAAAGATCAGACTTTTACATCAAAGAATGAACTCGTGATTTCAATTTAGCTTTAGATCGTGGATTTGGTATTTTTAACGATTATTGAATAAATAAAAAGCAAAGAAGTAAACAAAACTTTCATTACCAATCATACAACCCAAAAACTGCTTGATATGCATTGCTGATTTAGTGAAAAATCAGAATATCCAATAGTAAAATCACAAGTAATTATTCAGAGTAATAAATATTGTCCATTCGAAGCACTTTTTCCTGCAGTAAAAATCTCGGAGTTGTGATTTATGGCCTAGTTGTCAACAACCTCAATAAGGGTTGTCTCGTAATCACTGGGTGCCTCGAATCCATGTAGGTTCATCACAGTTGCAGCGACGTTGGCAAGCCCACCACCAGGTACATCTTTGCGGAATCTGACACCAGGTGCCAATCCAGGACCACCAATTGCAATAGGAACCTACACAAAAGCCCAATATTTTTAGCATTAGCCGTGATTCAACTAACTCAACAGCACAAGTACTGGCAGACTCATAAATTCCCAGTTTTCCAAATAAAGCCTTCTGTGTAATGCGCTGAATGGAATATTTCCAAAACCACAAATAAACTGATAGCTTAGCCAATGGAGAAAAGAGCTAACTGCTTAGATTATGTAACTTCTGAAAACAATCTTGGAATTTGCATTCCAAATTCGCCGGACTTTCACATGTTAATCCATCTTTTATGTGCAGATAAAATATTGTCATCGGATTTTCTGATAAGAGACTAAATATTTCAGCAACAAATTCGATGCTGATGTGATCCAGAAACTTGCTCAGCTAGAAATAACAAAAAAGAACAAAAAACTATGCCTTATTCCCAAGAGATAAAAGACCAGCAAACCATAGGGAAACTGCTTGTAGCCCTCAGAATCTCATACACACTATCTACATTCTTATTATCACCCCTGTTTTAGAATAAGCTTTTAGATTACTTACAGGTTGAAGTGTGTGAGAAGTAAGTATCTGAATCTTGCCACTCTTGTCAAGAAGAGGTTCGCCCTTCTTGTTTCTTTTCACCATATCCTCAGCATTTCCATGATCAGCAGTCACAACATATATGCCACCCACTTGCTCGATTGCATCAAGGATCATCTGCTCAGATCATTGAATACAGTTTAAGTGCAGATTATCAAATTATAGAAAGACATATAAACGCTAGCAAGTGTAGTACCAGGAAAAAAAATCAAAAAAGAAGCTTAAATTCCAGCATCATGCTGTAAATCTAACAGAGTACATTGTTTTGAAGGGATAATATATATGTAGGGATCCAAAATGTAGAGGAAAGCACAAGAATTGACATCATGCAGGTGGTTGTTTTTCTTGTGTCTTATTGCATTAATTAAAAATAATAATGGAGCAAACGAAAGTACCACCACAATCATGTTTTATGTTTATCTTCTAGAGAACGAAAACTTATTTTCATTTACATTCAAATATGGAAATGGAAACAAATTGATGACCACAGTGGAAAGTATCCATAAATCTTGCAAATTCTACTACAAATTGCACGGGGTTCACATTATATCATTCACCAGAATTCAGGTGCTCAGAAAAAAAGGTCAAAGGACTCCAGGAACATCCTCTCAAGTTTCTCCTTAACAAAATTAGCTTGCTTTTCCAACTATATTTGGACCCTCAAATGACCACCAATATTACATCTTATTTTCTAAAAGAATTCTGTATTCAAGATACGCCGGTAAGAGAAAATAATTCCAGAACCAACAATTACCTTGACAGCCTCATCAGCAGCCTTGCATGCCACAATTGTTGCTCCAATGTCACCAGTATGCCCCACCATGTCACCATTAGGTAGATTAACACGTACCTTACGAGGAAAAGAATCTTAATTAAAACCAAATGTAGGACTTATATTAATGTTGTGCTTCATCAGCTACCCTTTACAGTGCAGCACACCTGGTGGAATTTGCGGCTGAGGATGGCATCTCTTGCCTTCTCAGCAATCTCCAAGGCCTTCATTTTTGGCTGGACATTGAAGGTAATACCAGAATCACTTGGAATTTCAACGTATTCTTCCATTTCTTGGTTAAAGTATCCTGAGCGATTTCCATTCCAGAAGAAGGTAACATGGCCAAACTTTACTGTTTCACTGTCAAAAACCATTACAAATAACAAAAGTACTGATATGTTAAATAATAACCAATCTGTAAGTCTAGGAAGCTCTAGCAGAAAGTCTCAATACTACACTTGTCCAATAATATTAATAATTTACCATAGATAAAGTAATATTATCGTGATTTTCAACTTTCCAAGCAAAAAGAGATTTTAACACACACAGAGCAAGTTTTTTAGAAGCGGCCCCAGAAGTCATTAGGGTATCAACTTATAAATATTCTTACTAAACCATGAAATTGGAGAAATTCAGTAACACCCTAAACAAACTTACACGCTCAAATAGCAAACAACATGGTAAATTAAATTATCTCTGACTCACCTGCAAGCAAAAGTCCGGACTCCATTATGCACTAAATATTCCCCAGATGTTCTCTCAATCTCTGGAGGAGATACAAGGTAGTGACTGGGAAGTTTCAATTCACCATCATATTGAAGCATTCCAGCATAACGGATTTTCGGAAACCGAACTCGATCAAATATATCGAAATCCTCATACTCAAGTGCCTTGGCCAGCATAGTCATACGATCTGCCCGAAAGTTGAAAGTAACAACAGCATCACCATCTACAATAGGCCCAACAGCCTTTCCACTGTCATCAATAATAACAAATGCAGGTAAATACTGATCATTTGCCTTAGGATCCTCTCTCAGCTTTTTGACAGCGTCAACGGCACTCTTAAACTTGTGTGGTGCTTCTCCAAGCACTTGAGCATCCCAACCTCGTTTCACAACACCCCAATCATTCTGGATAGACACAAGAAACAGAAACATTGATTTGTTAAGATGGCAGTTTGACTAATTAAGGAAATTTTGATATGTAGTATAACATTTAGGAAAATGGTTATACTTCTTGAATGTTTGAGATGGACAAGAAAACCTTTAAGCTCTGATAAATATCAAGAGAAGCAGTAGCAACATCTACTGAAAGTGACATTAAATTTTATAACAAAGTCCCAAGAAAGCAAAATACAAACAAAATGCTCGTCGAGTTTGAAAAGTCAAAACAGATTTTTTGTCATCGAGAGAATAAACTCAAAGCAGA